GAGTCAGGGATCGGGCTGTGCCTTTATGGTTGTTTCAGTAATATCCAAGAGAGATTTCCACCAGACTAAACAACACTGTTTCCTGTCCAAAGGTTTTATGAGTGTGAATGATCCCTAATCACAACATACTGCAGGCTTTGTTGAGCCTACAGACAACGATGCCATGAATGTGCCAGGCCTGGTGTGTCCTAGCTGTGTATATATGGCTAAACCCAAAGACTTCTGGCAAAGTTCTGACCTAGCTCCCAGACCCCCCTTTTTCATTAGGCTCCTAGCTTTGAACATCAGATAATGGTGTTCACCCTCTAACCATGTCTCCATCTTTTCTACCAAAAACACAGCAGCTTTGCCCTCAGCTCAAGATTCCGAAACTGGGGGGCCCAACTGAAAGTGAGTGGAGTCACAAATGAATGGGGGTGTCTTAAAAGATCCAGGAACAGAAACTAGGTTAGCTGATCCTGTAGAGGCTGAGCCCGGGGACACTGGCTGTGTCATAGAAGCAGAGCCCTGGGGCAGGGGTGGCACCAGACAATACTGTCGACCGAGAAAGCAAACCCACAGTTCAAGAAGCCAGACATCAGAGATGTAGCTAAGTGGGAGACACAGTGTGTGTGTGTGTGTGTGTGTGTGTGTGTGTGTGTGTGTGTGTGTGTGTGTGTGTGTATCCCTACACACATTGGTGGGTGTGGATGTGGGCACACGTGTGGAGATCAGAGGACAGCTTCAGGTGTCAGGTCGTGCCTCTCACCTTGTTTGAGTCCAGGTCTCTTGTCCATGGCTGCACATACCAGGCTACATTGCCTGCAAGGTTCCAGGAACTCCTCTGTCTCCTCCTCCCACTTCCCCATAGCATAGGAGTGCTTAGGTTATAGAGACCCCATTTGTCTGGCTTTTATGTGAGTCCTAGGGATTCGAACTCAGGTCCTCCTGCTTGTATGGCAAATGCTTTTGTTCCCTGGGCCATCTCTTTAGCCTTCAATGTTTCGCCCCACCCCCAGCATCCTTCACCTCTGTTCCCATGCCCGCTGCCATAGCCATAACCCTGCATCTTTGTCCTCCTGCTGACAAGGAGAGCATCACTAGCTCTCCCTCCCCAGCTCACCCCTGACGATGGATCCTGAGGATTCTAATTCAGAGCCTCATGCTTGCAGGCCGGTACTTCTACCCAGTGAGCCATCTCCCTAGCTCCAAATATGGCCACTAATCTCTTATTTTCTCTAATTCTGTGGTTTTTCTTTAACTTTGTTTATAAAATGTTTTTCTCATAAAAAGTCTATAAATTATTAACTCACTTCATTTCCCCCTCCTCTGGTTTCTGGTTAAGAAATTTATCCCAGCCCAATCTTATAAAATGTCTATCTATGTATTTTAGAAGTTTTTTATCTTCTAGTTCTCTGACAGTCCTTCTGTTTGTTTTTTTATTTATAACATCAGTCCACCTGGATCCTTACTCTTGTGAATGGTGTTTGTTTGGGGGTGAAGCTGTCGGGGAATGGGGGTGATGCCCTGAAGAGGACAGGCTTGGTTTCAAGTGCTAAAAGCTCTTGGGAGTCTATGTTATGTACGGCTATTGTTCTAAATTAAATCCTGTCATGTTATAATCAAATTATGTTTTGGAAAGGTCAAAATGTTTTAAATTTACCACCTTTGGATTATTTTGATGGGTTTTTATTATTATACGGCTTTTGTAGTTGTTCACTTCTATCCTGTTTATAAAGTGGAAACACTACATAATAATGGTGATGCCGTGCTGTTAAGTGTGAATTAGCCGTGGTGGGAATGTTTACACCATGGCAATTGGCAAATGCCACAAGTCAGAGTCTTTCTTTTTCATTTGGATCTGCCACTGTAAATAGGTCACCAGCGAACCACTATCCATCTCCAGATGTGCCTATCCAGAGCAAGGGAAGGAGTGCGGGAGAGCAATGTAAACCTTCCTTCCAGTCCTGAGACAACGCTTCTGAAATACTTGTCCTTGCTCCATGTGTGTGTGCTGCCAAGGGGAACAGACTTCAGGGATCTCTCTAGTCTCCACATTCCCAGCCTGGGTCTCAGTTTGGTGTACTTTGCCCTTTTCTCAGTCATCACAAGACTTCTTGATTCCAGTGTGGCAACTCAGGCTTGTGGGAAGCGCTCTTTGTCACCATATGCCTGTTTTCCTAAGTTTCCTTAAAACATTTGTCTAGATGCTATCAAAGTAGCCGGGTGAGTTGGCAGTGTCCCTTCCCCACTTCTACATGGCAGCCTGTGCTCTGGAGACAGGAGCAAGTCAGGCAAGAATCAGGAGACATGTCTGGGATCTCACATTAGTTCTTGAAATAATGGAAATGCTATCCTAGTTTTAAGAAGGACCTAGGTTTTAGCTTCATAAATCATTTTTTTCTGAAGATCTAAGAACATTTTTAAAAATCACAGGAAAAGAACCCCACTATATTCAAGTATCATTCATATGGTCCTGTGAAAACCTTCCTAAGAAGATGGGGGTTACTTTTGTGTGATTCCATGTTTTCTTTTAAAAGTGTTTAGCACATGTTCAGAAATCTGTATTGAGCTGATGACAATATCACTCTGTCACAAGTTCTTTGTGTATTTAATGTTTGGTGTCCAGGCGTGGTGGTGCATACTTATAATCTTTGCATTCAGGAGGCTGAGGCAGAGGGCTGGAGTTCAAGGCCACCTTGGGCCACATACGAAGATACTGTCTCAAAGTGGAGGTTGGAAGTCACTTTCAACAACACTTCACAAAGAGATACCTGGTCTGCTCACAGTCTCCCAGAGGTCCTCTCTTTGATTTCCAAAGCTTGTCTTCTCTTTTCCACAGTTATCTTGATTTTTTTTCAAGGTTCTGCCTTCATTCCACAATGAACTCCAAATTTAGTTCACAGCTGCCCTCTGGACTCAGCTGTGACCCCACAGAACTCATTTGGCATCGAATTCTACTTTCCTTTGTCAGTTGATTTCGATTGTTCCTACTTTTATATCAGCATTTACACAAGGGTCCTTATTCTTGGAGAGCATGCCAGGAAGCGGTGTTCCTCCCTGGCTTCTGCCCTGACTTCCTGCCCTGACTTCCTCAGTGAAGGAGCGTGACCTGGAAGTTGCTTTGGGGCAAGGTGTTTATCACAGCAATAGAAAAAAAGTTAAGACACAGCCTAAGAGCTTCTGAGGCACTTGACTCATTTTAACGATTTTACATTTCCATCCTTACAAGAACGTGCTAGTGTTGCGTGGCTGATCGAACTGAAATTTTTATACTTTCAATTATTTTGGAGGGAAGAACAAGTAACTGCTGAAACTCGAGTTGTGAACATTTTGGACTTATGAAACACTGGGTGAAAAACTGTCATTTTAATCACTGTATTGCTTGTGCCAAGAATGCCACACAAGAGAGCAGATACGCCCATGGACCCATGGGAGACAGACTATGATATGTTAGGCTGTGCATAGGGTACATGCTAATGACAAGGATGTGAGACTCCTGGGCGGTGGTTAAGCTATGCTCAGAATTTCCCTAGCTCTTGAGTGCACGGATGATGCTGGTGACAGCTGGCCAGTAACATTGCACGAGGCATTCCACTCGCTGTTAAGAACGGCATCAGGATTACGTCTTATACCTTTGTTAATTTCAGAATCTATTTCTAGCCCAGTGATTTGGAGGTTCTCCAGGTTAGCAATCCTGTCAGCATTGACCTGAATAGTGGGGTCCAAGTGGGTTGTTAAAGTTTACATGGAATGTGTCTTCCAAAAGGCTTGTGTGTTGATGACTGCTTCTCAGCTGGTGGCATTATTAGAAGGTGGAATCAGGATGGCTCTATCTTTATTGGTTGATCAGCACATCAATGACTTCTTAGCTGAATGGCTATTAGGCTGGTCCTAAGAAGAAGTAGGTCTTAGGGTATGGCTGCTCTGCTCCTCTGATCTTTCAGCTTCACCCTTGATATCTAACTCCGGGTTTTTATTTAATAAGACTAATTAGGATCATGCTTCTTCTGGTGCCCAACATGGGGCATGAATTCATGAAAAAGTCACTTTATCGTGGCTTTGTAGCCACTGGCACACACCAGAGTTGCATGCAGGGGCTCCCACCTGAGTCACTGCCCCACCAGCTAGGTTTTCCTTTCTTTTTCCCCCAAGCCTCTGAGCAAGTTTGGTACTTTTCTGTTGCAGCCTCTCTGCAGCAAACTTCACAGGCACTTAAGATCCAAATGCCACCAGAGTTAGCCACATTCACATGTCCTCCTGTGCAGATGGCTGGCTCTTTGGCTTTTTCTCTCCTGGTGAGTTGTAGGCTTTCCCAGGACCCCCTCCTCGGGCTGCTGCCACACTAGTTAGCTGTCTTGGTACCTGCTCGGCTATCTACTGTTGTATGCAGCAGCAGCCAGCCACTAGAGACTTCTTACCTCTACCAATGCTCAGACTGAATGGGGCAGATCCTGTCTCTACTTATCCTCAGACTGAATGAGGGGATCTTGTCTCTATGAATCCTCAGACTGAATGAGTGCCCAAGATCCTGTCTCCACCTCCCTAGTGCTGGGATTAAAGATGTGAGCCTCCCATGTACTAGGATCAAAGGCATGATCCTTCTTTTTTTTTTTTTTTCAGTTCATTTTTTTTTGTTTTTATTTTTTTTATTTTATTTTATTTTTTTAATTTATTTTGCAATACAATTCAGTTCTACATAATCAGCCACGGATTCCCTTGTTCTCCCCCCTCCCGTCCCCCTCACCTTCCCCCCAACCCCCCCCCCCCCCATTCCCATCTCCTCCAGGGCAAAGCCTTCCCCACAGACTGAGGTCAACCTGGTAGACTCAGTCCAGGTAGGTCTAGTCCCCTCCTCCCAGGCCGAGCCAAACAATCCTGCATAGGCCCCAGGTTTCAAACAGCCAACTCATGCAATGAGCACAAGATCTGGTCCCACTGCCTGGATGCCTCCCAAACAGATCAAGCCAATCAACTGTCTCACCCATTCAGAGGGCCTGATCCAGTGGGGACCCCTCAGCCATTGGTTCATAGTTCATGTGTTTCCATTCATTTGGCTATTTGTCCCTGTGCTTTATCCAACCTTGGTCTCAACAATTCTCGCTCATATAAACCCTCCTCATTCTCGCTAATTGGACTCCCAGAGATCCACCTGGGGCCTAGTCATGGATCTCTGCATCCAGATCCCTCAGTAGTTGGATGAGGTTTCTAGCACAACAATTAGGGTGTTTGGCCATCCCATCACCAGAGTAGGTCAGTTCGGGCTGTCTCTCGACCATTGCCAGCAGTCTGTTGTGTGGGTATCTTTGTGGATTTCTGTGGGCCTCTCTAGCACTTTGCTTCTTCCTATTCTCATGTGGTCTTCATTTACCATGGTCTCCTATTCCTTGTTCTCCCTCTCTGTTGTTGATCCAGCTGGGATCTCCCGCTCCCCCAAGCTCTCTTTCCCTCGACCCTCGCCTTTCATTACCCCCACTCATGTCCAAGCTGTTCATGTAGATCTCATTCCATTTCTCTGTCATTGGGCGATCCCTGTGTCTTTCTTGGGGTCCTGTTTTCCAGGTAGCCTCCCTGGTGATGTGAGTAGCAGACAAGTCATCCTTGTTTCATGTCTAGTATCCTGCTATGAGTGAGTACATACCATGTTTGTCTTTCTGAGTCTGGGTTACCTCACTCAGGATGATTTTTTCTAGATCCATCCATTTGTCTGCAAACCTCATGATGCCATTGTTTTTCTCTGCTGAGTAGTATTCCATTGTGTATATGTACCACATTTTGTTTATCCATTCTTCAGTTGAAGGGCATCTGGGTTGTTTCCATGTTCTGGCTATTACAAACAATGCTGATATGAACATAGCTGAACAAGTGCTCTTATGGCGTGGTTGAGCATTTCTTGGGTATATGCCCAAGAGTGGTATAGCTGGATCTTGGGGGAGATTGATTCCCAATTTTCTAAGAAAGCGCCATATTGATTTCCAAAGTGGTTGTACAAGCTTGCATTCCCACCAGCAGTGGAGGAGAGTTCCCCTAGCTCCACATCCTCTCCAGCATAAGGTGTCTTCAGTGTTTTTGATCTTAGCCATTCTGACAGGCGTAAGGTGGTATCTCAGAGTTGTTTTGATTTGCATTTCCCTGATGATTAGGGATGTTGAGCAGTTCCTTAAATGTCTTTCGGCCATTTGAGTTTCCTCTGTTGAGAATTCTCTGTTTAGTTCTATAGCCCATTTCTTAATTGGACTGTTGGGCATTTTGATGTCTAATTTCTTGAATTCCTTATATATTCTGGATATCAGTCCTCTGTCAGATGTGGGGTTGGTGAAGATCTTTTCCCATTCTGTAGGCTGTCGCTTTCAAAGGCATGATCCTTCTAAGTGCTGGGATTAAAGGCATGAACCTCCCATGTGCTGGGGTTAAAGGTATGAACCACCGCCACCTGGCTCTGGTTCTCCTTTAGACTGGATCAATCTCGTATAGCTGAGGGTGGCCTTGAACTCCTGGTCTTTCTGATTCCCCCTCCCAAGTGCTGGGATTAAAGGTGTGTGCCACCACTGCCTGGCCTCTGTGGTTAACTAGTGACTATCTCCGACCCTTTGATCTCCAGGCAAGCTTTATTTGTCAGAACACAAACAGAACATCATACAACACTAGGGCCGTGACTTGAGCATTCTCATTTGTCCTGGTCACTGCCTCTCTCCTCTCTTTGCTTCCCAGCGCCCATGAGGTAAGCATGTTTTCTCCTTCATGCCCTTCCACAATGATGCTTGTGCTTCACCGCAGGCTGCAAAACATGAGAGCCAAGTGACCATGGACCAACCTCTGGAACCGCACACTAAAATAAAGCTTCCCTCTTTCGTTGTTCTTGCTCAGGTATTTTGTTACATGTAATTTAACAACAAAAGTGGCTTACAGGACAAGGGGTAGGTGGAAAAGAGTGAAATTAAAGTCTAAATCTGCCAGACACCCCCCCACCCCACACCATGAAAGCAATTGCGTAGTAGGGATACTTGTCTGGAAGAGGTGTTGAGTGCTGATTAGTGGGGAGTGGATAAATGAGCAGATACACAGAGGCACTTAAAACAAAGTGAGTGTTAACTTAAAAAGGACATCATTTATTCATTTATTCAGTCACTCAACAAGTTTTAATCAAGTACTTACCTTGGGCTTGGCATGAGGCAACAGTGTGTGGGGTGTGTGTGTGTGTGTGTGTGTGTGTGTGTGTGTGTGTGTGTGTTGGTCTGGGCTACCAATTCCATAGGTCCACAGACATGGTATATGGTCATGAAGATCTAGGTTTGAATCTTGCTGCCACTGTTTAGCTGTGTGATCTGAGTTGTTTAGTCTCTGCCCAGTCCCTCCCAGGGCAGGATCTCTAGGTGAATTTGTGGAGAAGTCCTGTGGGAATGGGTGAAGTAATTGTGGAAGGCACCTCACCTGGTGTGCAGCTGTGGGGAGCATTCAGCTCTGGAAGGTCCACTCCCCCTTCTCCCCAGAGAGGAAGCTTTCCAGAGGAGGAGATGGCTGTATCCCAGGAAGGATTTGGGTTGGGGTGCATGGTATTCCCAGACTTGGTGTGAGTGTTTGTCTGTGCTGTGTAGAGGAGCGCTCTGCACTTCCCATAAAACATGTGAGTCACTATTAAAGTTCAAGTGCTCAGACATCACAGGTCGGCAAACGGCTCTGGAACGCTGCTCTTTGCTAGGGCTTATGGCAGAAGAGGAACAGGTTTGAACCGTGTTGGATGAAAACATCAGGGGCAAGCACAGTCTTCAAAGTCAGTCACATATAAAATGAGGTGCCAGCAAGGACAGACTGTGGTCATGGCTACAATCAGCAGATGTGGGCAGGGTTTGCAGTCACCACTGGTCACTCCCATCCCAGCATTCCCGAAGTTGGAGACCCTGGACCAGAAGCAGGCAGCAGGCACTCCATGCAGGCAGCCCACAGTGGGTCAGACTGTGGCGGAACTCTTCTCAAAGCCTCTGCCTATCCTGTCCACTTGCTCAGATCTGTAAGCAATACACATCCCAGTGACTTCTGAGGCTGGATCAAGTGAATTCACCTTCAAGTTCCTGTTACAATGAACTGAACCTTTGCTCTGCTCTCCACCCTGCCAAAGTCAATCCAAGTTGCATTCTATTCTTTAGGATCTCCATCCACCCTCCAAGTCAGATGACAAAAGGTATAGCTGTTGTTTATCAAGCCCGAAGCAGAGGCACAGTGCTATAATGAGGTCCCTCTTGTCCTGTGGCTTGTACAACCATGGGAAGTCCCTCAGACTTCAGGCAACTAAGGACGAGTCTGAGTCTCTTATACTGGTGACAATGATAGCAGTTAACAGTCATCTGTCTATAATAGCTCCACAGATTGACCCGTGCAAGTGTTAGGACAAGTGCTTGTTCTAAAGTCTAGTGAATGGTGGTAAATATGGACCAGAGTGTGTTCACTGACTGGCACCCACAGGCTTCCCTCTGTACTTCTAGTGGTCAAGTCGAAGCACTCTACTATGCTGGAATCCTTAGGTTGGTCACTTGGTGACATTGGGACCCACCTGGAGTATGCTATATAATCAAGCCTCAGTCGTCTTCTTTGGGAATGGAGATGAATGTGTCACTCAGACCAGAAGGAAGCTTAAAGGATTCTTTGAAGAAGTGCTTAGGAATGCCCCAGCTTTGTGACTCAGATGCTCAGTCAATGGCCGACCTCCTCCCTCCTCCCTGCTGCTCATCCTCCTCTATACCTAGAAGCCTACTTTCTTGCAAAAATCCAGGACCACAGGCCCATAGTGGCACTGCCCACAGAGGACTGGGCCCTCCTACAGGCCAGTCTAGTGGGGTATAATCCCAACTGAGGTTCTTCTTCTCAAATGACCCTAGCTTGTGTCAAGTTAATAAAAAAAAAGTGTGTGTGTGTACATGTACATATATGTTTGTGTACATATGTGCATGTATGCATATGGCTCACAGTCCATTGTGGATCTCAGCCCATCGTGGTGGGGGAGACATGGAGGCAGGAACATATCTTGGAGACTGTTCACACTGCGGTGGACAGAGAAGCAGAAATCCTCCGGACCCAGAGCTGGCCTAGAACCTTCAAAGGCTGTCCCCTAGGGACCTCCTTCTGTCGGAGAGGCCCCGTTTCCTTAAGGTTCCACAACCTCCCAAAAGAGTGCCAAAAAGAGCTGAGGAACAAGCATTCAAAAGATGCACCTGGGGAGGGAATGGGGACAGGTTTCAGGTTCAAATCAGAATACCATCTCAGCTGACCTCCTCACAAAATATCTTGCTTTGCTGGTGGGAATGTGGGAGAAGAAAATCTAAAGACTCTCCTAAAGTCTAGTGAATGGTGGTAAATATGGACCAGAGTGTGTTCACTGACTGGCACCCACAGGCTTCCCTCTGTACTTCTAGCCCTGACCACACATTAGGATAAAAAGACGGCCCCGGAGACTCGGCCTCCATGTGTGGGTGGAAGGCCAGCCTTGACAGTTTTTCTTTGCAAGCTCCCTTCCCAAGCTGACAGGGGAAGGGAAGCTGTGTGCACACTGAACCTTGCCCAGTTCCTCCAGTGGGTCATGGACCCGTAAGTCTAAGGCCCAGCACTTGGGGCTACTCAACAAGGGAATGGGCAGGAAGAGGCTGCAAACGGGTTTGGAAGAGGGTGGCCCTGAGATTGGAGAGTTGCAGAGAGGGTTCTGAGCTGTGGCTGTGGTGTGGGCCCATTCTCAGACAAAGTCCAGCTGTGTGGTTAGAGGGAAGCTTGTATGTTGGCAGGGAGGGGTGGGGGACTCATGACACAGTGGCTCTACTGCTCTTGGGCAAAGGAAATTGCTCATGGGGTCTAGCCCGGTCCTTACTTACACTAGGTGTGTCCTGCTTGTGGGATTCTATTTCTCCGAGCCAGGAGTGAAGAATATTCTAAACGCACAGAGGGACGGAGAATGGAGATCGCTGCTTTTGTTTCTGCCTGCTCCTTGTGTCTTCAGGTGACATCACAGCTGCCATGTGGAAGGTCTGTCCCTTGTTTTGGCTTGCTCTTGTGACTTTAAAAGCCTCGCTTGCCTTCGGCATCTTTGTCGCTTCACACAGACTTCTGCAGGGCCATGCCGCTCTCTTGTGCACTCATGTTCTTAGTCAGCTGGCCTTCCATGCACTGTTCCTGCTTGTCCAAGAGAATCGGGACATCAGAGGAGCTGCTCCTCTGCACACAGTCTCTTGGGCACCTCTCCTGTTCATTTCCACAGAGGTACACTTCTGCTTACGTTATAAACTCCTGGTTATGGCCTCTCCTCTGCACACGGCTTCTTGGGCACTATGCATTTCCACAGGGGTACACTTCTGGTTACGTTATAAACTCCTGGTTATGGCCTCTCTTCTGCTTGGGGGCAGATACTGCTGTCTTCAATCTTCAGATGCTCTTTTCCTAAATCTTGGGTCACTGACTGCCAGTTGTGAATTTTAGTCCACAGGATGAGTTTGGCCCCAGTTCATGTGAGATTGATTTGGCTACTGTGTTATTTTGAGAATTTGGGGGTGGTGGTGCTGAAGAGATGGCTCAGCCGTTAAGAGCCTTTGCTGCTCTTGCAGAGGACTGGAGTTCAGTTCCCAGCACCTAAGTCAGGTGGCTCACACCTACCTGTAACTCCAGCTCCAGGGTATACAATACTCTCTTCTGGCCTTTTAGTACTTCCACAAACCTCTGTCTCTCTCTCCCTCTCACTGCCCCTTCACACACACATACACTTTTAAAAAATAAGTCTTTATTAAAAAGAAAAAGAAAAGGAGCTTGTCTGGGAGCTGCCCATTTGCTCCTGGTCATTCATGTGTTCCTACACGTCTGCCTGCTTCACACACCTTCCTTGCAGTAGTCCTAACCCCAGAGGTGACTGGTGTATTCTACCTATAATGGTTTGACCAACTTTCTGCCCCTTCTGATGGCTCTCCTCAGCACTCAAAGCTGGTTGTTCCCACCCAAAGCCTCTATAACCCTACTGGAAGAAATCCAAGCAGCAGTTGTCTGGGAAGTATCCTGGAAGTCACCTGTGTTCATGGGCATCCACGTTCCTGCTTTCTGCTGGGCATCTTGTTCAGAATACACTTATGCTCTAGCCTTCTGTATCAATCAGGGCAATGCTCCTCTGCTAATCATACCCCCTTGCCTGTTTGGTCTCATGCCTGCACCTCTATCCCAAAGCCAGCACATGTGTCATGGCTAATCTGGACTGGAGAGGGTCCTATCATCCCTATCTTGGGATCTTGAGCCAGGCTCATGGATGGGCCCCACTTTGTCCAAGAGCAGCAGAGCATAGCATGGCACCTCCAAAACCTCCAACCTCCCCCTACAGCATGGACTCAGGGGTCCTGACTGTTCTATGATTTCTCAAGCCTTTCCTTGGGCACCCCCCACTCCGGCATTCCTGCCCTCCTGCCGATGACCAGTCTCCAGGCTCTAACTCCAAGCCTTCTCCCAGGGTTGGCTGGTGTGTTGGTTTGACATCTCTAAAGAGAGAGAGTGGAGAGAAAAGGTTATCTTGGCTCACAGAGCTTGTGGTTTGGGCCCATGATCGGCTGGCTCTGGAACTGTTGCTTCAGAGCCAAAAGGGGGGTCACAGGTCATGGTGGGAGCACCCGACAGAGGAAAATCGTTCACTTCATGATCCAGAAGCAAAAGAGAAAGAGGAAGAGACCAGGGCTGCATATTCCCTTTGAGGGCACACCCCACTAGTGACCTCAATACCTCCCTCTAGGCCTCATGCCTAGACCTTTCTACTTCCACCCTAATAACATCAAGCTGGAGGTCAAGCCTTTAACAGGCAGGCCTTGAAGGGGCTCTAAATCCAGCTACAGTGTCTTCCTTTTCACACCACAGTCTGTCTTCGGCTGTCATAAAATCTAATATGACTGATCTCCCTTCTCTATGCTTCCCAAAATTCCTCCCTCATCAAATAATAATCTACTGGTGGCCGTCAGTAGGTCCTGAGCTATCACCCCTCTCACAGCATCGCCTGCTTCCTCACGGGCTTCTTATTTATAGTAAATTCTCAAACACATCCCTTCTCACTCCATGCATGTGTTTATATGTGTGTGCTTGTATATGTGTGTTCATGTGTACAGAGGCCCACAGTTGACATCCGGTATCTTCCTTGATTGCCCTTCACCTTATATGTTGAGGCAGGATGTCTCATCAGGACCCAGAGCGCCTTGATTTGACTAGTCTCGCAGCTTGCTTTAGGAATTCCCGGTCTCCGCTTCTGTGTGCTGAAATAACAACGGTGCTGCTCTGCCTAATCATCATTCGCTTGGGTACTGGAGATCTGAACCCTGTTCTTTACACTGGTGTGGCAGGCACTTTATACACCAGCCACATCCCTAGCCCTTGTAGCCTGTTATGTCCGTGAGTGATAGCATGATTTTGTGCTATGTCCAGAACCCCAGTGCTTCAAACATCAGTTGAGATGGCGATGATGTCAAACTTATTTTCCAGAATATTCAATTAACTAAAACATTTCTGTCAGTCATCCCTTAATTGTTGCTTCCTGGAAAAACCCTTGCACAGTTATGTTAGACAAAGCCTTTATAAATTAGATGATCTCCAAAGAAAATAGTTCTCTAGATGGAAGGTAGAGCTATCATGTAGGATAGCATCTAGGGCAGATAGAATGTAAGAAACCCAGGAGACTGGTCCCAGCAACCCTGATGAGGGGCCCGTAGAAGATTCTCCTTAGAATCTCTCAGCTGCATATCCCGGCACAGAGGGGGAAGAACATTCCCAGAGTCACAGCTTCTGGTTTACATTCCAGAGAGAACCAGCACTCCACGCCAACAGTAGTAAAACCGACATACTCAGAGCATTTCACACCCTAAGGTAAAGCAGGTCTAGGTGGCATCACCCACTGCCAGGCGCTGCAGAAATCTGAGCCGCCATGGAGGAACTTGTCAAAGAGGAGCAGACCTGGGGACTTTATTAACATTTTCGTCACCAGTTTCGTTTTCTTCTCCACGATAGTTGC